CCCCAAAACCCCAAAACCCCAAAACCCCTTCTATTTGCTTATTAATTGAAATATTTAGTATTTGAAGTTGCCTTCATAAATTTTGTCAAAAAGTGTGAATCCTTTTGTGCTCCAACTGGTGTAATAGATTTAATATTTTCTGGCAACTCTTTCATCTTTTTGTGCCCCTTTATGTGATTTTTTGCATACAAAATCTTTGAGTTGACTAATGGATTTGTGGAGGGGATCTAGGATTAGCCAAAATACTGTACTATCTTGTTCAACTTGTTCTTCACAAAGCTCTGAGGTTTCCGACTGATTGGACTTTTCCCATGCTTGTTAAATTTAAGCCCGCTTCAATTGATAAACGACCCAGAGTCGTTCTTGGGGTTTATTCTTTGGTATTTTGTGTTGAAGCTGTGTTTTTCGAGACTCTTATCTTGGTCTTGGGAATTGTTCGCTATTATTTTGATGAGAAAGGGTACCTTGGAAGGTGTATTGTTTATCCGGGTTAGGTTCTAATCCTATTTCACCTTTTTGAATATGCCTATAATTTTGGATAATAACATTACTGTAAATTCAGCCTGTGGAAAAGTCTCTGGGATTTATAATGCTCTCGTTCAAATTTTCAGATTTTTGAATATGTATTCCTTGATACAGGGCCTTTAATAGTCAGGTTTGTTATTGATGAGCTATCCTCTCAATTTTTCTCTTCTTTCGGAATGTACCGTTTGCTGGATTTGTCATAAATTGACAATTTAGCACCTTTTGAGAGCATAGATGTTAAACTTCGCACTTGGTCAGAAGTCTTCCTGACATACATCATGGTCTTCTTATGCATTCTGAAATTAATTTTGCTATTTGAATCGACCCTTCTTCCTTAAGAATTCTAACTCTGGTGGCTCAGAAATGGTGCTATCCTCTGTAGGAGGCTCGAAGACCCTGCTGGCTTCGGATTTTGGTCTTTCGTTCTTTTTCAATTCAACTTTAGAGCTTTTAGTGGTGAAACTCTGAATTGATGGGTCTTCCAGAGGAGTATTCATAAGTCAGGAATAAGTAATGGGAGTCTTGATCAACTGTGGCAGGTCTTTATCCCTTACTGATTTCCCAATAAGCATCCTTCCCTTCGATGTTGTGGTGACAAGGCAATTACTTTGTTGCGCTAGTGAGAGTCTTTTAAAATGCAGTTTTTCCATTGGGGTTAAATTATCATGCGGAAAATGAGACTCATCAATTCTTTTATTTTATTGCGATTAATTTCTCTCTTGCTTCTTTTCTTCTATTGATTATTTCTCTTTGTTTGGGAAATTCATCGACTACGGGTTCAGTTTTTAGCTTCACTTGTTTGACCTCATTTGTGTGCTTAAGGCTTCGCTAGAAGAGAGATTATGAGTGATTTTTGTTTGGGTAAGCATTTACATTTATCACAAAAGTGAATATAGGCATAATTAGGAAAATACTTACTTCTCTCCTGTTCCACCCTTGGCTACTAGTTACACTTGCAGCAGGGAATAGATGTTTCCGAGGAGATCCAATTGATCGGGTATCCTCTCCTTGCTTAGACCCACTACGTTTCAGAGGAGATGTATAGATTATCCTTGAGTATGATTTCCGAAGAGAATCAGTTCTTTTTCTTCTTATTTTCTTCTAGATATAAGTCAGCAAAATTTATAAACAATAGCACAAATGCAAGGATAAATGTCTGTGGAGAACTTTAACATTGAAAAGTATTACTCTTTTAGGTTTCCTTGAAGCAACCTTCTTGTTGACAATTAATGGCTTAGCCATTAAGTCTTGTGGGGTCCTATCCTAGTGTTAGTCTTCATAATTTATAGTCGGCATAAACTTGTAAAAGATATTTGAAGGTTTCCAATTGGGTGCTTAAAATTTCGAAATCAAAAATTAAGCTATTTTGGAAGACAAGCATTAGTGTGAGAAGTGTAACATTTTGCACATAAGAGTTCAGCACTCCAAGATAAGATATATTTTCTAAATATTTTGAGAGAAACTATAAGCTCGGACTCCTGTTTTTAAATAGCTTACTGAACTGGCTCTAGGGATTCAGGGTCTTGGATTACTCCTTTTTGGATAAATATCTTATTTTCAGTAGTTTTACATCCTAATGTGACTGCATGTGACATTATACTGCAGACATCATTGATGATGACCTTGGGGATTTGCTTATCGATCTCCTTTAGTGTGATATAGTAATTAACTCCATATAGGATCTCTGAAATGATATCTTCAGAGATGAATAGAGATTCTGGCTTGTTCTTCCTCCTAAATTCTTCAGTTACTTCATCAGGATCGATAGGTTTCTTTATGGGCTGTTTGTATTTCCCTATAATGAGAACACTCGGTTCTATTTTACTGAAAATACTAACTTTTTCGATTAGGTTTCAGACACAGAACTTATGGACCTGGTCTGTTGGCTGACAAATTTCACTTTTAATGTCTTATTTAGTCCCATTGTTAGGTTTGGTTTTCAGCTTGCTTGCTTCCTTTTTAGACTCTAAATATATGGCAATGTAACACAACAGGTTCGTACTCTTCCTCAAGGGTTTGATAGGAGTCAAGGTTGACATTAAGGGTGAGTGTATAATTTGAATTAAAATTTCAAATGTTTTTAAGAAAATGGGGTTTTGGGGTTTTGGGGTTTTGGGG